TTTTTATGTCTTTTATTTTATATAGCATTTTATTTTATGCAATAATTTAACGCAATGTTATAGGTAATAAACGAATCAATAAGTTAAACTAGATCTGCTACATCACGTTATGTTAAGAATAGTAAAACAAGATTAAAGTAAAAATCACACAATAAGTAATGCTGAAAATAGTAAAAATTATACATAAGGGACTTTGAAAATGCAATAAACTTTAGTGAGGATTGATGTTAGACGTTAGCCTTGGAGAATAAATCTGATATAGAAAATTTATATCAGATATATTAAAAGCTTTCGACACATTTCACAACTATCTCCTACTTCTAAAATTAAAAGCTTATAGAATAGATGACTAACTCTACAATTGGATTTGAATGTTACCTTAGAGATCGGCATTAGAGTATCATTGTTGGGGGTACATGCTCAGAATGGATAATAGTAAATAGTAGGGTCTCCTATGATATATAATAAAGATTTTTCTGATTCCGTTTTAGATGTTGTATCTGTATTTACAGATGATACTGGGATCTTCATTGACAGTAATTTGACTTTTATTTTGTAAGTACTAAGAATAACACTGCCAATAAAGTTGTAGGAATGATCAAAAGATCCTTTATCAATATCTTAACATTTCATACTTTGTTTATTTTCCTTGTTCGTCCTCACCTAGATTCTTGCAGCTCTGCCTACTATCCTAGACTTCAAAAAGATCAACAATTAATTTAAAATGTTTTTGGTCAGACTGGACTCACTTACAACCAACTACTTCTGAGACTAAATTTAACTAGCATGAGCTATCGTTTCTTCAGTAATGACATGGCAAAAACTTACAAATGCATCCACAATCTTTATAATTGTAGTTGCAACCCTTTTGTTTTCTCATTAAATACCATTCAGTATTTTATCTATCAACACTTGTGTCAGAATGATGCCATCTGCACAGTCATTGTATTTATTATTATAATTACAGACCAATAAGTAGTTAATCTGAGTTGTAATAGCATGCGTGTTAATATGGCCACTTCTTAATATTAATATATGATTATGTATTTAGTTAGTATTTATTATTATCTTTTTTAAGACAGATTTTTTTTCCATATTAGAAAAGCTTTTTTAAAAAAGCTTTTCTAATATGGAATTCACAAAATTGTAGAATAGTCTACCATCTGAAATAGTGTTTAACATCTGTCAAGACATTTAAAAAACATCTAGATGCATCTTGGGTTCATCAAATGTACAATTGCATATAAACAATTAGACCGACACAATTAGATACAATAGAACAAAAGGTTGATAGGCTTTTTTATTTACCTATTTATTCTATTTTTAAAATTATAACCTTAGAAAATAATAATAATAACAACATTAATAATAATAACAAAATGTTATATCAAAACTCTTATAATTAAACACCGAATAATTAAAATTAATTAAACACCGAATAAGTTTTATGTTTATTTTTTTAGTGTTGTATATTAAAAACACTTTTTTTCAGTGTTCCATAACTGAGAAAAATATTCTATGCCTGATTAACTCATTCAATTGAGCATGAGATCTTAATCTGATGCTAATTTGAATCTCGTAGTCTTGGGGTTAATATTTACTTAGAGCCTCAAGTTGTTTATCTTCCTTAATATATTTTTTAAATAAGAAAATGTTATCATAGAAACCTTTTCAAACCGCGCAAACGTTAAAATTCACTTTTTTTTACTAACCAATAATTAAACTCTACTTGTAATAAAAAGTGATTACATTAAAAATTAAGAAATGAAACTCAATAATTTTTAGACTAATATTTTCAGTTAAAAAAAAATAATAACCTAAAAAAAAAAGTTAATCTGAAGTTTTTTTATATCATAAATTTAGTTGTGATTATTTTTTAGCTGATGTACTGTTAAACTGAAGGTGGTAATAAAGTTTACAAAATTTGTATTGGCTGAATTTTTCAAAGAAAAAACAATATGTATACGATGAATGTAATCTGTTTTTCATGGCGGATCAATGAAAGTTTGGTGTATTGGCTAAATCACTTGCAAGCATCTTGCCTTTAGGCTGCCATACGTAAAGTCACGCTTTTAAAAGTAACTGAAAGCAACTAAAAATAAGAATTTTTTTGATAATTGCTTTATTTACAATATTTTTTTTGTTTTATTTAGAGTATTGTCTTTGTTTTTTATCTAAACAGCTGTTTGACTCAAATATAGTAAATGTTGATTGTTTAGTATGGTTTATCTTATTCTTTATACTTTTTTTTGACAGTTATGAGACTGCTTTAGAACGGAATTATGTAAAAGGATGCAGGTTACAAAAAAAGTGACACTGATGAGATTGTCTCTCAGTTTCTCAAAGATTGAAGAAATCTTTAGTGTTTTAGGGTTTGGTGATTCCATCAGAGCTTTGCTTGACTATCTCTTTTGATTTATTGAATTTATTTGCCGGTTATAGAGGAAAAAAATCATCTCGAAGTCTAAATCTCGAAGAAAAATTATTGGACAAAGACACCTCATGAATCAATAGTATATATCAGTGAATTGATATTAGTTAATAGTTTTTGGAAACAGTACCATGTACTATTAAAGTTTCTAATTTTTAAAATATGATACATTTATATGAAACATACAAACAAATGATACAATATGATACGTGATTGACTATAATTATGTTGTATAACAGAATGTTTTATATAAATGCTTATTACATTTTATTGTGATTTTTATCTTTTATGCCCAGTTAGCAATGTATTTTGTTTAGAAAAGACTGTTAATCTCAGATATCTATGACATCTGTAGGGTGTATTCACCGCTACAGATGTCATGATCTATTTATAACCAATTGCTTTTACTCTTCCATAATGTCATATTTTAATAAGAATCACATTATGTAAAACCGTCTAATACATACACATGAGGAACCATTATACTTTTAGTACAACCAATTATATTACATTTGTTTTCTTATTTTAGATGAACTTTCTTACTTCGGTTGGAGGAGATGAGAAACAACTTACAGCGGCAATTTTAATACAGCTAATGGCCAAAGAAGTATGTTTTTCATAGTCAGTGAATGGAAGGAAACAAAAACATTCTGGAAGGTCGTTATAGGTAAAGCACAATATTTGTATTCTACATCCAATTTCCTTTTAATAAATAAATATTTTAATAAAAGCTAATTATTTTACAATATTTATACGTGAAAAATTATATATTTCAAAATTAAATTGTGATGATATTAAAAAAATATTTTTTAGAATTGCGTTTAGTCATTTATCGTTGTATTGGTTCATTTCTAAATCGCTACTGACAAAAGTATTAAAGAAAAAATCGGCAGCTTTCTGGCGACGGCCATTAATAGAGATTACGGAAGAAAAATAGAACCTTAACTGAGCAACGCCCACTATTGAGCAATGAAATAAGTATCGCCAAAGTAATGAAAGTCGATGCCCACTATCTCATTGTGAGAGTATAATACAGTAGTTTATATATATATATATATATATATATATATATATATATATATATATATATATATATATATATATATATATATATATATATATATATATATATGTATATATACCTATTTTTTGTACCTGTATTTAAATAGCATCTATTTTATTTTGTTATATTTTGGTTTTGGAAAACTCTATATTACTTTTTTTCATTTGTTTCATATAGCTTCAAATAAATTTAATGATTACGATTTTTTTTTTCTTAAAGCGTGTTCTATGATTATTGTCATCTCCTAGACTATAACCTATTTAACTCAAAAGAATAATGCATCCTAGTACGATAGTATCACTTAAACAAGAAAACTGTTATAAATTTTAATTATTACAAATTTGTAGAAGGAAATATTTTTTATTATTTTTTAATAATAAAAATTTAATCAAAAATACTCAATATATTGCCTTAATTTAGTTATATATATTTTATATACCAGGATAATATTGTAAACTATATTAGGCCAATATTGGCCAGTATAATTTCCCCATTATTGGCGCGATATTATTTACAGTATTGGCGCAATATTATAAACTATATCGGGCCAATGTTGCAATGTGAACATTTTGCCAATATTGGCCAATATTGACTTTACAGTATTGGTGCAATATTGTATCGCCAATATTGGCCAATATTGACTTTACAATATTGGCGCAATATTGTAGCGCCAATATTGGCCAATTTTGGCAAAATGTTCACTTTGCAACATTGGCCCGATATAGTTTACAATATTGCGCCAATATTGTAAAAAATATCGCCCCAATACTGCGCCAATATTGTTTGCTACTAGGGGAATTATGAGTATTACAATACAATTTATGTTTTGATAAAGATTCTTCAGTATTAAATCTTAACAAGCTATTTCTACAATAGTGTACATTTATGGTTAGATGTTTGTGATGAAAGTAATCTGTTTAAACTTATTAAGCAATAATGATTAGTTTTATCATTTCAAATGAGTAACAAGTCTATTTGATGTTGTCTGTTTTTCTCATTTGATATTCGTAAAGAATAAACTGAACGTTCGTATCCAAAGACATTATCACTTATATCTTGATAATTTTTCTTAAATTGAGTAATTTGATTGAGTGACACTGGGAATTCTATTTTTTCCAAATTTAATTTATTAGCTTGTTCTTTTAGATCTTTATCTACTCTTTCAAAATTTTTTTCTTTAGTATTAAAAAATCTAGCAACACACCACTTAAAGCATTCGTTGCCTTCATTTTTAATATTAATGATTGCTTTCTTAGTTGCCAACTCTTTATTAAGAGGAATGTTAGATCTAGCCTTAATAGGGTTATATTCAATTATATTAATGTCCATCTTTTCAACTAAAACAAATCTCCAACTTGATCCCACCTGTTGAAATGTTGACAAGGATTCTAAAATTTTCTGTTCAGCTCTTTCATAAAAGTCATTTAAATCTTTCGATTCTAAAACAACTTCTGATTTTGTTGAAAAAGTTGCAATAGTTGTTATAGTTTCTCCTGTTTCAAGATCAGTACGCTTCATTTCACATGAAAGAACGATATAGATCTTTGATCCTTTATTGCTATTCAGTATTTTAATTACATTATTTTTAGCTGATTTCATAAAGGACTAAGCATCATATCCTTCAACACCTTTAGCTGAAGATTGCTTTGTCACATTTTTAATAGCTGATTATGTCAATTTAAAATTTATTGGTTTTCTAATTTCAAACCTTCTATACAAATTAGAAACAGTAGATTTTATTGATGTAAGTTCCTCATTTGCAGTTTTTTTAATGGATTCAGGAACAAAAGACATAATCCAATTAGCAAATGAATTCACTTTATTTAGTTGCAAATCCAACATTAGTCGTCAAATTTGCATATGTTGCATTATCTTTGTACCATAGTTGATTTAATCCTTCTGCTCATTGGAAGTCATTTGAATATTTGAGCATTCCTAACATTGTAGTTGCTTGCCCTAAATTATATACTGTTTCTTTGTTCTGTCCTGATAAATCATATTCCATTCTACTAAATAAATGCATAATTATATTTTGTGTAAGTGTAACTACATCTGCATTAGCATAGGATGCACTATCTGCTGCTTTTAGAAGTCCTCCTTCAACTTGTATATAAGCTTTAGATGGAAGAAAAAATAAACCTGTCATCTCAATATTAATTTTTATTGCTAATGTATTATCTAAATTTGTACCAGTTGGCGGAAAATATTCTCCAAATTGAAATCTGGAAATACTTTCATCAATAAAGGGTTATTCTGTTAAATTTAAAATTTTACAATCTGCCATTTTTATATATATAACATTTTTTTAAATTCATTTTAGATTTTAAATTTTAGAAAAAAATATTATACCATTTTTAATCCTCTTCCTTTTTTTTACTAATTCTTCTAGTTTAGTAGCATTCGAATGGTTTAATTTTTTAGATGGTATTGCAGATCCCATCATCATTCTATTTATATTTTTTGTGACATTAGATAGATTCTGAGCTAGATCATTAGCTCCAGATTCAACTAAATTTGAAACTTGTTTACTCTCAGGTTTAAGCTTTGATTTTTTAATCAACTTGTTTCCTTTTTCTACTATAATATCTTTAGCAGTAGAGATTGTATTTGTAGCTAGTTCTTTACCTGCTACTTTTTCAGCATCTATTGCAGTTTTTCCTAAATCACTAGCTATGGCTTTATTAGCTAAATTACGTGATATTTTAAGTGCATTATTAATCGGTCTATTAATAAGTAAACCTCTAAAAGGACTAAATATACCACTTCCATCGACAAAATGCTTTTTAAAAACTCTTTTCTTCACAATCAACATTTTTTTTTACTTATTATTTTTTTTTTATTTCCTAATTCTTATTGATCCATAAATTAATAGTAGACAATCTATTCTTTATAGTAGATAATGTTTTAGTTACATCTGAAGATTCTACTTGCCTAACTAGATCTTTAATACTATCAAATATACCACTTCCATCGACAAAATGCTTTTTAAAAACTCTTTTCTTCACAATAAACATTTTTTATTTCCTTATTATTTTTATTTATTTATTTTATTTCCTAATTCTTATTGATCCCTAAATTAATAGTAGACAATCTATTCTTCATAGCAGATAATGTTCTAGTTACATCTGAAGATTCTACTCGCCTAACTAGATCTTTAATACTATCAAATATACCACTTTCATCCACAAAATGCTTTTTAAAAACTCTTTTCTTCGAAATCAACATTTTTTTATTTACTTATTATTTTTATTTAAATCTAAAATTTTTCTGTATTGATTTATACTCTTCCTCATTCAGTACACCTTGACGTAATAATTCATCACAAATTGCAACAGCTTCATTTCTAGCTCCATTATTACCTACTTTCAATGCTGCTATACGAAATGTAAGCATTTCAATTAGTGCATCTGGATCACTTGGAAGAAAGATGACTCCTTTTCCAGATTTTCTATTTATCTCTTCCCAAATTGGTTTTATTATCTTATTATATTTTTCACTTCTAGATTATCTAGGTTTTCCTGGATATTTAGTAGAAGAAATAGCATCTGTTTCTTTCATTATATTTTTATAATTCTAAAGATCAAGAAAAGAAGAAAGATGACTCCTTTTCCAGATTTTCTATTTATCTCTTCCCAAATTGGTTTTATTATCTTATTATATTTTTCACTTCTAGATTATCTAGGTTTTCCTGGATATTTAGTAGAAGAAATAGCATCTGTTTCTTTCATTATATTTTTATAATTCTAAAGATCAACTTCATTATATATATTTTTATCAGGACAAGCTTTTGTTAACAATTCCCAAAGACCAGTAGTTCTAACATTTTTTTATCATCAACAATTATATCATTATTATTAATTAATATTGGTTTTTTTCCTATATCCAATTTTTCATCTTTTGAGTGTATACCGAATGTAGTATCTGCTGCTTTTTATTACTATATGCTGACTGTAGATGATTTGTTGCTATAGTTTATAATGAAATTATTTTTCTATCAGGTTTCATATCAGATTTAACATCTTTATTTGTTATTTCTTTAGTTTCAGGTATACCTATTATTGCAGGATAATTTAATAGAGTGATAGCTAAATGATCAGCTTTATTTTCTAATTTAGACAAGTTTTCTTTTATTCCAGATTGACTATCAATAATAGGTTTGTATAAATTACCCAAGTCATACTGTAAGTCATCATATCCAAGCTTTTCATTTACTGCATCTTTATATATATATATTTTTTCAATCTTTCAAGCTCTTTAAAAGCTTTTTTTCGGATCTACAATATCTAAAAACGACATTTTCTATATGCATAACATTTTATTTTAACGTGTTATCATGTTTTTTTTTTACTATCATAAATCAAGTTTTTTTTACTATCATAAATCATGTTTTTTATCATCCCTATATTTTGATATTTTTGATTTTTATCACCGAATGATCCATTTTTCGTAAACCTACTACTTAACACTTCCATAGCATCTTTATGACCTTTCTCTTCACCTTGTTTAAATATTGATTGTTTGGTTTGTTCTACAAGTTCTACTTTAAATTTAGATTCTAATTTGTTCAGACATGTCTATAAAGTTTTGAAGTTCTCTAAGTATCATTCTACATCATTGATTTTATTATTGTTTAAAGTTTTAGAAATATGATTATCTATTGTATTTAATTTTGCATCAGCTAACATTTTAATCTTTTCATGCTTTTCTGCTTTTATGTTTAATTTTTAAATTGCTTGAGATCATATTAATGATAATTCACCTGCACCTAATGCAGCTCCTTCAAGTGCAATAGCAACTGGTGCTGTTACTATAGTTG